GGAACACAGCAGGCCAGGCAGCATCAGAGGAGCAGGAAAGTTGACATTTTGGGACGGGACCCTTCGTCAATTTCCCTACTCCTCTGATGCTGCCTGGCCTGCTGTGTTCCCCCAGCTCCACACTGTGTTATCTCTGATTCCAGCATCGGCAGTTCCTACTGTCTCCTGAGTGAGTTATAACCCCACAGTGAAACCATTCCTGATGGAGGTTCCCGACCCGAAATGTCAACTTTCCTACTCCTCTGATGCTGCCTGGCCGACTGTTTTAGAGTATTTTTGTTAAGACTGTTAAACTGAACTTGCTTGAAGTTATTTTCAATTAATATATTGAATATCCCAAATGAAATTGTAACACAGATGTTAACCAAATTATGTTGGCAAATAAATGTGTTAAAGTAGTCAATAAGGGGGTTTTGTATGAACAGGTTGATATGCTGACTGTTATTGCTGGATGGTGAAAATTCAAACATAGATTTAATACCATTTTTACACAACAAGGTATTTGAAAAAGAATCCACAGTCTGATGGGCATCGTGAATATAATATTGATTGATTTTATTGTCATGGGTACCGAAATACAGTGAAAAGCTTTGTTTACGAGCAATACAGGCAGATCACAGCAAGCAAAGGATGTACAGATCAAAAAAGACTTAGAAGCATACAGGTTATATTGCAGGTGACATTATTTGAGGCTAGAGTTATAGCTTGAGTCAAGTCCATAGTTTTTACATGTGAAAAGCCAGTCGATGTTAACATAAAAATGGTACCACTTCAAATCAATACTGCTGTATTAATATCTTTCTTAAAACTGAACACTGGAAATTAACTGTGCACTTTATATTCAATGAAGATAATGAATATTCAGTAGCAATTGTAAGGTAATAATTTTAGTGAGAAATACAGCTGACTTTGCAGACCAGAATATTATAGGTCAAGCAGTTTGTAATGTCTACATAGCCCTGAAATGAGATTACGGTCTTCAAATTACCTGTACACAATCAATTATTTGTATAAAGCATGATTTGCAGTTTGAGGAGATTCTTTTACCTTGCTAGCAGGCATATGAGTGAGCACCAATGGTATATGGACTCTGTATGATAGAAGCATGTTCAAGTTGACACAAAAGAAATTATAACTGACATAATTATTTGCAAATATTGCCAGAGCTGGTTTCTAGAATATACGATTCAGTGCATCAGTTCTATAGATGCTGACTGATCCAATGTGTTGGCAGCACATTATATTATTTATTCAGATGTAAAACATTGGCCTTAATATCATGTGCTCAGCCCAAAAACAATTTCAGAAGATTTGTCTGTGACATTTTAACACCTCAGTATAATTTTACTTCCAGTCTTGCCATCAAGTTTGCAGTAGCAGAGGTTGTGCAGACCCGCCAACACAAAATAAAGCTGGTCAAGATGCTGAAACTCCCGAATAGTACTGTTGGTATACCTACATGAAATGGACTGCAGCTGTATGATGAGGCAGCTCATCTATCCTAGGGCAATTAAGAATGGACAAAATAAATGTTAGCCTAGCCAGCGATGCTTACATCCCAGGATATGGCATTCATGTGGCTTTGGGACATTGGTTGAATTTTTCATGAAAATCATCATCTTGGTTTGAAACAAGGAATCTTTTATCTCCTAGCAGAAAACTTAGCTGCTCAGCTTTACACTGCTTCAGGGCCAAAGAGGTTGGATAGTTTGGACTGATGCAGGATGAAAGTATAAAGGCTGTTTCCGAAGACTCTGCCTTACTTTGTGATATCTTTGTGGACATTGAGAGAGAAGCAGTCCTTGATGTTGATAAGAGATGCAAGGATTACCATGAATCCGTGTTCAGCCATGCCTGCAACTGTGGGAAATGAGATAGAGATATATGCCCAAACACCAACTTATTTTGACTTGCCTCATCACTGATATGACAAATATGCAACAGTGACCTACGTTATACTTTTTTGTATACCCAGCTGGAAGTTCCTGATTATTTCTCCCAAGTGTGAGTGGAAGATCAAGATGGAAAGGAATTGTGCATGATATTCACTTTCAAAGTCACAAAAAGGTGTGTGGCCACAAAGTTCAGCTGGGATTGGGCCATCTTCGAGGAAAAGTGTAAATATTTGGTACCACATGATGCAACAACCTCAGCTTCCAAGAGAACTGCACTTCTGACAGGTCTGAGAAAGTGGGCAGCTACATTTATGTGTGTCTGAATAAGACTTCAGTGAAGCTCTGTCCCTTTTGTAGCTGTTCTCCCTGCTCATCACCTGCAGGTTTCATAGGCTGTAGTTGGTGCTGTTGGTGATTTTAATCCCTTGATAAAGTCCAAACTAAGATCCATTTGGATCAGATTCTCAAAACTTCTGAAATGCAGAAACTAACTTTTTACCACAAGCATCATGAACAAAATCTTTCCCAGTAGTAAGTTCAGAAAAGTAATTGGGACAGCTGAATGTGAAATGCTAATTTACTTGAATTTTGCATGCATTCTTATTTCTCTTTTATGTAGCGTGCTGAGTTAAATCTACTTCTTCAAACTCATCTGTATTATATATTGTTTTGTGACCTCTGTGTCAAATTTTGATTGAAAGAGCTCCTGTGAAACACCTTGATGTTATGGACTTTATGGATGATGGTATAAGGTAGGGGTGGAGGTTAGATAGATCTTAGGATTAGGGTAAAAGTTCGGCACAATGTCATGGGCCGAAGGGCCTGTACTGTGCTGTACTGTTCTGTGTTCTATGTTTTTCTACTGTAGATGCTATATACAAGTAGTTGTTTGTTATGATGGAGAGTTATATGAAGCTCAAGAAATCTGCAGGTGTACCATTAAATTTTGACAAAGGAATGAATTATCACCAGGGACATGAACAGAAATCACAGGCCTAATTCCGTTCCCGATTATGCAATGTCTTGATTTTAAAATTCACAATCTTGTTTTCAAATCCCTGTAT